GTTTTGCTAGCGTAATTTTTGCCGATTTTTCTTTATATAAAAACGTAATTTTTACTACGTAAGAGCTATACGAGTAGTTTGGCGTACTTTATCAAAAGTGCGTTCAGAAAATATTAATAAATTGTAAAAAACATAAAACGAAAAAAGTTTTGATAATTTGATTTATAGAAGCAATCAAATATGACATTAAAATCAAAAAGAAATCATCGCATTTTTTTTTCCTTGTGATCTTATATTAACATTAATTTTGAAGTTTACTAAAAAATGTCGATGCTTTCCATATTTAAATAAGAGCCTCATACCTAAAATTTATCATATTTATAAAATATTCTTTTAGACGAAAATTTAAATTTCCTTTATCTAAAATGAAAAGTAAATAATGTATTAGATTAATACAAAAGAAAAACTAAAACCCGCTGAACATGACAAAATCAAATTTAAAAGTTCGGAACTTTTTGAGTGGATATTGTTAATTTTGAACGTTTGATCTCGATATCCAATGTGGGCACGATTAAATTTGAGAATCAATGCTTGATCACTCAATTAAAGTTGTCCCTGCAAGTTATGACGTCCACGGGGTATTGATCTTTGTATGATGGAGATCAATTGGTTGATCCCGAGAACAAAAGATCTAACTTTAGATGTAATACTAAACAATATGTTCGCTGTTGGACAAACCGTAGTTGACAGAGTTAAATCCAAAGACTCTCTATCTATATATAAATTTGGCTTGTCTGTCTGTTTGTCTGTTTGGGTGTTTGTTTGTTTGTATCCAATAAACGTCAAAACGGCTGAACCGATCGGGCCCACATTTTTTGTGGGACATCACGTGACCACAGGGAAGGTTTACGAATGATAAAAATTTAAAAAAATGTGTTTTAAAGGTTTTTTATTTTGTGAAAAAAATTTAAATTCTTGAAAATCGGAGAATTTTTTTTTAAATCCGCGAAATTTTTTTCTTCTTTGTTTTAAAATGTATGCAAAAAGAACATGTTCACAATTTAAATAGAAGATGGGCGCGAAGCGCCCTAATAGCCTAGTCTATATATAAATTTGGCTTGTCTGTCTTGGTGTTTGTCTGTTTGTTTGTATCCAATAAACGTCAAAACGGCTGAACCGATCGGGCCCAATTTTTGTGTGGGACCTCACGTAACCCCAGGGACGGCTTGTGAATGATCAAAATTTCAAAAATTTGTATTTAAAAGTTTTTATTTTTGTAAAATCATTTGCGCGAAAAAATACTTTATTTGTTTTTGTTTTATACTGTACAAAGAGAAGATGCTAGCCAAAAGTTGAAATAGAAGAAGGGCGCGAATCGCCCAAAAAGCCTAGTATAAAGATAATGCATCGGAAAATCTACGCAAATTCTACGCCCTTTGTTTGGTCTAATAAAAATTGTAAAAAATGTCGTCTTCTCTATTGAATAAAGGCATTTTTTACTTGCTCGGAAGTTCCATTTCCATTTAATAATTCATACTTTTTAACCCAAATTCCCACAAATAAATGACGAGTTATCAGGTTAGAAATGCATACTTTTATGCTAAATTATTTCTTCTCTTTATGATGAAACAAACAACAACTTAAATTAGTTAAGGTTTTTTTGGATATATTTAGTTGCCTACCCCTTTCACTGCCTAATTGACTACATATGAAAATGTTCATTAACGATTATTGGCTATTTTTCATACATAAGAGATGCGTAACTAATTCACAAATTCAGGTTCATTTCAACAAAAGATCCATTTATTCAACACATGATTAAATAACTTTTAAAATACAAATACATATATTATTATTATAAATTGAGGGTCTTTGGTTGAATCTATTTGTACAATCTAATAGATTAAAGTACATTAGGTGGCAACAGAGAAATGGACCAATTATACACAACGTCACAAGTGTCAAATATAACAAGAAATACGAAATTTTCTTACATTAGTTGACAGGTTTTCCAAGAAAATAGAGAATATATAAAATTACAATTTTTTATTGTAAGATAAGCACTTTTATTCTAAAGTTATCAATATTATTAATAATTTTGTCGGACACAAAAACTAAGTTGACACTTGTGACGTAAGAATACAGCTGTACTGAGAGTGTACAAAGTCTACGTTGCCATCTATTGTACTTGACAATCTATTTGGTGTACAATGAACTTTGAACTGTTTATTTAATTGTTATTTTACGTGTTATTTAATTCTGAGTATAACTCAATTGTCAGCTAGAAAAAAAAGATATCTCAGTGAAATCCTTGAGTAGATAAAGATGTAAGGGGTAAATGTTTAAAACGTACATGTCTTTCTGGAAATTATAAGGATCCATCTGATCTGTGTATAGATCACTTTCACTTACGTTTCTAGTCCCTTTCTAAATTTTATCAAGAAAGGTCATGCATAATTTTAGTCTAGTGGGGGAGGTGCAAAGAGTGAAAAAGAACGCTCTTAGGGGCAGAGTGACATTGCTAACCGATATTCTCTATTAAAATTCAGGGTTCGAAAATAAGGAGGTTACGCCCCCCCCCCCACAGTGGGATAGCAGTGGGTCAGCAATAAGGAGTTTACACCATAAACCTCTTATTCAAGTCAATTAAGGCGATCGGCCGCTTAAGAAACTATTGTTAAGAGAAATGTCTAAGTCGTAGTGATGTCCCGTTGAAGTTATTAAATTCGACGGAAAACTGAACATTTTCGTGAAACTCTTAAAACAGGTATTTTATACACGAATCAAGAGACAAAACTAATACCTGGGCACGTTTACGACGCCCCTTCTTTTATTATATGGTAGTTGAATCTATTTATATATCTAGATTATCCAAAATCCGTTGTTATTTCTTGAAAAAAAAGCTGTGAAGTATAAATTTTTTCGCGATCATTACGTCTCCCGTGTAACCCATGTAGACTATGACCTCATGAATCTACGCAATATTGCAGATCTTCGGCAGAAGCCCAAGGAAGTTACGTGCACATGCCGCATTGAATTACAAGACAGAGAGAGAGCCTGTTCTAACCACGGCGCTCGGCCCCTTAGCCTGTTTTAACCACGGCGCTAGGCCCAGAAAGTGTCTTAACCTAACCTAACCCTGAGACAGGACTGACGATGATAATATTTTCATCGGAATACCTTATGTGACAATTATTTATTCCAAGTTTGGTTGAGATTGCTCTTTACCTCTTTTAACCTCTCTCCTAACCTTAAAATATATACTAATCTCTCTCTTTCTTGTAATTCAACGCGCCCAGTACACGTAACTTCCTTAAGTAACTGCCCAGAATTTCAGGATCCATTCATGGAAGAATAAATGAAAGGTAAAAGTAATAATAAATTGAAATCATCATAAATCAATTCAGCTACAATTGATACAATGAAAAGATTGTCAGAATACATTCAATTTGTCCTTCTCAGCACGAAATGCAAGGCATATGCGTTTTAAAATGAAAATTGCGACAAAACCCAGCGACCCCCCCCCCCCCCCTAAAAAACCCCACTGTGCCCCCCTCACCTCCTTCAATGTGTAGAATACATCTAGGTCAATGTTTGAAGAAGAGAAAAATTTTCAAATTTTGATAATTTATTTAATTTAATTAATTTAGCACTGCACTATACCTTAGTTAAAATTAATTAACTTACTTTTACTGAGACAAAATGCAGACCGACCTTCAACTCCTTCAACTCCTTATCACGAAATGACCAAATGGTGAAATAATCAACTCACAAGAATTATTAAGATTTCGTTTTAAGGTAATAACAATTTAACTAAAAACACCAACTGGCAACTGAGTTGAGTTTTCAAATAATTGTCGAATTTTTAAATCGGAATGAGTACATGTGTTCACTATAGTATACTAAGCGGTAATAGGTCGTATATTTACCGCTTATAAAAAAATTGAATTTTGAAACAATTTCAATTTTTCTTATATATTTTTTGTAAATAAATTATAAAAAATAAACAACAACAAAAAATGTGAAATAAATTATCCCTGTATTTCAAGAACCTGTAATTTATGGGGTCAATGTGTACATTGTTAGAGGTCACAGAATACAAAGAGGGGTTAAATCTTCTTGCGACCTCAACTGTCTCAACGCTTAACATTTTTATTCTCTGTAGGGCGGGTGAGTGGGGAGTGCAGAGTTCCTCAACGAGTAATCACCGCCACCCAAATGTGTTTTGCGGCAAGCGGTGTTTCAAATTATTTTCAGATTTGTTTGGTCAACATAAACTGAGAATCTAGGCAGAGTTCATTTTAGCCGAATCTTAGATCCAATTCGCTCATTTAATGACTGCATTTCATGATTGGCGTTAAGATACTAAAAGGTCGGGCTGCCAGGGGGTGAAAATAAAAAAGTCGGAGCCCGGAGGACTAAAGATTATCTTCAGCGAGACTTCTCAAGACTTCAGAGAGTAAGACAGAACTATGCAGAGCTGTTTACATTATACTTTCTACATTACTCACTTTACAAAAAAAGAATAATTTGAAGGCCAGGGAGGGGCATAATCTTACCCCTCCCTACGAAAAATGCCCATCCGACCTATGAGAAATGCCCATCCGACCTACGAAAAATGCCCATCCGACCTACAAAAGAGTGCCCGTCCGACCTACCCTACCCAAGTGCACTACATAATATAGGCGTGAAATAACTGCTGTAGGTCAGATGTTGCCTTGCAATAGGTCGGATGTGCAGTACAGCGGATGGGCAGTAGAGCGGATCAACATTACCTTTTTATACATGACGTAATAATATGTAAAAAACATACAAAAGTTCACCTTAATCAATTATGGGAAAAGGGAATTTTTTAAACGGGTCCTTGTGAATGTGACCGCTTGGGAAATATACTAAAATGTACTTCTTTGACCTCGACAAATGGTCCCAAAATAATTTATTCGATTATGTTCAGTGTTCATATCAAAGTGTTTTTCCAAAGTATATTGTTGTTTAAAATCCCTCAACAGATTATCAAAAAAAAATTTGAAAATTATAAATTATAAATTATAAATGAAAACTCACATTAATATGTTTATTTGCAAAAATTATTAATGTTTACAAATTATAAACACAAAGATTAAGTTCAGTTTACCAATCTTCATAAAAAATAAATTTTTCTGATATTTCGCAGATAAATTAGTTGTAGAGGATAACTACTCTATCTCCAAGGTTCCAAATAAATCTGCGAAATCTGTTCAAAAACAAAATGGCCAATCCCGTTGAAGCACAGGTCACGTGATAACTACTTTCTCGACACGCCAACTCCAGCCGGTCTAAAACAACAAGACATTCATTTGAAACAGAGAGTGCCCAGATAAAAAGTTTTTTGAGACACCCTAATAATTATTAATTATAGCTTAGAATTGTGTGAATATCGATATAAAAAAAAATTATCCATTGAATAGTTAAATCTTTTACAATAGTATGTATTTTTGAAGAAAAACGGAGGGAATGATAATTGATGCTTGGGGGGGAAAATGGACATCAAAATGAAAGATTTTTTAATTACTTTTTCCGAAAAATCAGCCNCCCCCCCCCAATTTAGAGAACAAAACCCTATTTTTTTGACACAATCATACCTATGGGGGGAAGTAGGATTTCCAAGAGTGGGGAAATGGGTTATCAGAGAAAACATACTTGTGTATATCGCTGTTTTTATTGTATTTTATTGTTTCTGTAAAAATTACCTGATTGGCCTTCCCTGCAGAATATATCCAATCTTCTGTACATTTACGATTGTATTCACCTCCTTTTCAGTGTCTACAACCTGAAAATATTTTATGTACAATTTAAGTACATGACAATGTAGAATAAACAATTATGTGCTATGTAAAAGAATACAAGTTTAGAGTTTGTTCCACATTAAAGTGGATCAGAGCTTCAAAATGGATTTTTGGCACAAAACTGAATTTTTTTTAATGTAATAATTTTGAAAAATTTTATTTATAAGGGTAGTATCAACATTTGTATGCAAAAAAAACATAAGTATGTTAGCGTTAAAGCTTGGAGATAATCAAATATGATATGAGACGCTCTGTACTAAGATATTATGTTTAAATTAGTAAATAAAAGAGTGTAAAGTATAAAGTGTAGTTAAGCGTTAAAGCTTGGAGATAATACAATATGATATGAGACGCTCTGTACAAAGAAATTATGTTTAAATTAGTAAATATTAAAAAGTATAAAGTGTAGTTTAGCGTTAAAGCTTGGAGATAATCCAATATGATATGAGACGCTCTGTACTAAGATATTATGTTTAAATTGGTAAATATAAAAGTGTTAAGTATGAAGTGTAGTTTAGCGTTAAAGCTTGGAGATAATCCAATATGATATGAGACGCTCTGTACAAAGAAATTATGTTTAAATTAGTAAATATTAAAAAGTATAAAGTGTAGTTAAGCGTTAAAGCTTGGAGATAATCCAATATGATATGAGACGCTCTGTACAAAGATATTATGTTTAAATTGGTAAATATAAAAGTGTTAAGTATGAAGTGTAGTCTTATGGCTGCAACTGTGTTTCAAAGAAAGTTAAAGTTTATGTGTAAAAACCGTGCTGGTGCTAATATTCTGGAACAAAGTTTAAAGACAAAAAATGGTTTCTCATGTCGTTCAACGTTTTTTTACCCCTGCAATATTCTTCTCCATTATGTTTAAACCATTTTAACACAATTTTAGGCTGTAAAACCATTGTTCAAAAACACTTGCCGATGCTGTATTTTTTGTCATTTTAACTTTTAATTTTGTAATACGCAAAATAACTTTTTTTTTCAAAAGTGCCCGGAGGTTACAAAATTCTTAGAAAACTTTCTTCAGTAAAAAAACCAACGATTAAATATCCGTAGTTCTCTAATTATGAATCTTAGATAAAATATGTTTGTGGGGGAGGGAGTGAGGGAGCGGGGGGGGGGGTTACCTGGAATAATGCATTATGCTTGTTAGGATCAAACTTCTCTCCTAGAGGATTATCACGAACCAATCCATGTCGTTCAAATACCTGAAACAATACAGTAATGTATATTATCTATGTACAGGACAGTGTAAAGTGTACAGTGTACACAGTAATGGTCTCCAATAAATTTGTCAAGTTTAATGCAAAGCTACTCCCAACTTTCCAGCAAAATAACCAAAATAAACAATGCAAAAATCTTCTTTAAAGGAACTGTAAGCGTATTCTATCCAACGATGTCAATGCCCGATTCATACAGTTACCCTTGAAAGTTTTGTCTGATCAAATATGAAGTAACCATCTATTTTTTTATTTGTTTTCACATTTAAAATGCGCATTTCTTGACTATAAGAAACAACAAAGATATTATTCATAAAAAAGCGACGTTATTTTCCACATTTTTGGTCAGAATAAGGTTACAAGGGTAATTACTATATTTGCATGGAGGGGGGTCACTCAAGATTTAAGCTTAAAGTCCCTTTAAATAGAATGCTTGTTAATAAAATGCAGCGTTTCGGATCCGGATCCGATCGGATCCGTATCATTTGGTCGGATCCGGATCCGTATCAGGAAACGTTGATATGGATCCGGGTAGCGCCAAAAATTAACCAAAACCATGGAATAAATAAATCAAAATGGTTCGTAAATCATATAAATAACCTTGCATAACATTAATAGGGAAAATCCGATTCACAGAATCAAAAGTTACCTCGGATCCGGATCCGGATCCGTATCAGAGTCAGGATCCGGATCCATCATCACGGATGCGGATCCGCGGATCCGGATCCGCATCAAAATGATACGGATCCAAAACACTGATAAAATGCAAAAACGACATTAAAATTCAATAGTACAAAAGTACAAACATTAAAAATTTGTAAATAAATAATTGAAAATAGGAAATATTTGCAAAACTAATCGTCATATTTTCTGTATCATGTAAAGAACTAAAAGAATTAATATTTGAAAGATAAAATTACTGCAAGACAGTCTATTTAAAATATGGATAAACAACTGGTACCTTCATCAGCTCTGATTGAGTGAGCTGGAGACCAACATGAAGTTCCTTCAACTGCTGCTGCTCCTAAAATTCAACTGAGTTGTGATCAAGGTTCTTTAATAAGGTTAGATACTCTGGATGCAGTCCAATGAAGGTAAAGACGACCTTTATAGCAATGGACAATCTACATCCTCATATGACGTCACTGCTTATTTTGAAGAAAAATAAATTCTGCGGCTCACTAAATATTAACGAACTTAAAAATTGAAAACTTGAATTGGAATTTCATTTTTCAAGCTTCAAACTTGTTAGCACAATCAATATTTGTTAAATGTGATGATTGATAGTTAAGTAACAAGTATCAGTGACGTTATATGGGATTTGCAAAAATGACGACATTTACATACATTTTATACAACCTTGATTGTGATTAACATTCAAGGTGTAAAATATATAGAAGATTAATCATCAAGATCTTAACAATTTTTAATTTATAAAGTTTTCTACGTTGAGAAAGGTGGAATAAGTGAAAGGAATGTGTGGGGGGGAGGGGTTATGGCTAAAGTTAGTAAATATTTTACAAATATGATATGAGATGTTAGAGGGGAATTCTGTTAAAAATCCGACAGAAATATACAGACTCCCCAATATACAGGGTGTTTTTTTAATTCTTCAACTTTTTAAAAGCATATCTCAGCCTTTTTTAAACATCTTTATGATTTTTAAAAAATTCTGAGTGGCTTATTTATGGAGGTTCTTTAATCCGTGTTGAAAATCCAGAAAATAAAAACATATGAATCTTTAACTTCATATTTCTGTCACATCATATTTGCACCAAAATATTAATTATCAAACTACAAAATCTGAGTCCAAAACTAAAGAATGCTCGAATTTAAAGTTCGAGGTTAAAAGTTCTGTAAAATAATGAATAGCTACTTAAATATTAAACTTTCTCAATTTTAAATTTGAATTTCCCGGGAAAAATCTGAACCAATCAGATAAAAGGATTTGCGGAGAATTTTTACGTAGGTATCGGTATTCGGTAATCACCTGTTTTTAAATTCTAAAATTTATGTGACGGAAAACAAAACATATTTCCAGTTACACAGTATTTTGGGTTTACGTGCAAACATTAATTAATCTAAAACGTGAAATTCATTAAATCAAGGTTTTGACTTTTAAATATATCGTAATTAGTTGAATGCCGCTTACCGCTGAACGTATAGAAAAATAGGGATTGCGGGATTTCAAGATTTTAACCCTGTGTTTAAATTTTAATTTAACTCGTCGATTTCGGCGAGTTAAATATTAAACCACAGGGTTAAATATTTAACCTCACGGTTAAAGTTCAGGTTTAAATTAAGTCAGAAGTGGCATTTAACCATGAACTAAGAATTTAAGTCAAAACTTTTCGTTCTTTAGTTTTAGACTCTGATAATAAAAATCGAGAGGTTGAAAAAGTCTCACTTATTTCTAAATGGGGATACAAATTAGCGATGAAAGAAGAAAAAAATCGGATATTTTCTGAAGTTACAGAAACTTGACAAGATATTTACAAGCAGGATCCGGATCCTTTGATTTAGTTAGCAGCATTCGGATCCATTCAAGAAGGATCCGAATCCAAGAAGGAACAGGCTCCTTTTGTTTTACAACCAGGATCCGGATTTTTTTTTTAAACGCGAGAACCGGATCCTTTCTTTATACAAGCAGGATCCGGATTCATTGTTTTAACAGAAAAAAGTAAGATATTTCCCAGGTACTTACAGTAAAACTTAGCGAAATATTTACAAGCAGGATCCGGATCCTTAATTTTAATAAGCAGGATCTTTATCCTTTGCTTTCATAATCAAAATCTGGATCCATTGCTGAAACAAGTAGGATCCGGATCCTTCATTTTTATAAGCAGGATCTGCATCCTTTGCTTTCATAAGCAAGATCCGGATCCATTGCTGAAAAAAGAAGGATCCGGATCTCCATTGTTTTTACAAGAAGGATCTGGATTCTTTGTAATTGAAAGAAAGGTCCGGAACCTTTAATGCTTCCTGAGGAACTGAATCAACTGCTAAAGCTAAAACATCTGCAACGTCCAGGAGGTCCTAAAAAAATAAATAAAATATAATAGAAATACTTACTTATAAGTATTCCTTTTAAATTATGTATTCCCCCCCCACTTAAAGGAAATTGAGAGAATTAAACACTATTTAAGCTTTAGGACAACCCTAGTATTTTTACAAGTGAAAAGTAATAAAAAATACTTTTCTCTGTTTGTTTGTTTGTTTGTTTGAAACAGATAAATGTCAAAACACCAAAACAGATCGAGTCCGAATTTTTTGTGGGACCTCACATTATACTAGGGTAGGTTAATGAATGATAAGAATTAGAAAAATTTGCTGTTTCAAATTCCGCGAATAAAATCGAAATAAGAGAAAAAATAAAGATAAAATTTAAGCGGAGCGCCAAGCTCCCTGGATGCCTAGTATCAAATAAAATACTGAAACTTTTTAAAAATAATTTTGTACTCATTCATTTATATTCAAGAAAATTGCTAACAAAAAATTGTTAAAAATTACTTAAAAAAACACTTCTCAAGCTTGATGGACTATGGTCAAGGAGCATGGAATATAAATTCGACTCGACCCGCCCTACCATATGATTATACAATATACATGCTTTGCAGAAGGGGTACTCCATTTGAATAAGAAATATATGTCTGATGTACAAATACCGCGTACATGTCTTCAGAATAGTTATTGAACACTGAACAGTGAACAAATTAGGCTAAATAACGCTAAAAATACATTTTTTGTGATGCAAAATTATCAGCAATATAAGCGAATTTTTGAAAAACTTAGTTTTATCTAATATAAATAAATAAATAAACAAAATGGTTAACCATCATCCCATGGGAGTCAGGGTTAAGCTCTCATCAAATAGTAAAAAACCTATTAAAACATTGAAAAGAAGACCTTATAAAAACTCTTTTTAAATGAAGTACCTCGTCTGCAAAGCATGTATATTAATCATATGGTAGGGGGGGTCCCCTCTACTTGGTTGGTTTGGACTTTAAACCTAAAAAAAATGATCTATTTGTTCATTAGTGAAAGTTTTATAATTTAATATTTTTGGTGCAAATCGAAGGCATTCTTGAAAGAAAAAATACTTTAAGAAGAGGGGAGGGGGGATTAATTTAATCTTTCCCTTAAAGTTGTTAAGAATTAGAGGAGAAACTGCCATTTTCGCGACTTTCCATACAACTTATCAAATAGGTTTTGATGTTCGTAGGTTGGGTTTGTCCTATAGAACGCTTTTTGTATCCCCCCCCCCCATAGTGGAGATAGAGTTCAAACTTGACGAGATCTAGACAAGAACTTGGCTCATTCTGCTCTCAAACGTTAGAAAGGAATTGAAAACATTACCTTGCAAAAAGACTGAATTCCAAACAGTTTCGCATCAGCGACTTGTTTATTCATTCTAATAGATCCACTCAGCTCATTTCAAGCAGATTTCAAAATTGCAGATGGGGGGGGGACATTAATAAGAATTACACCCTCAACCCCCACACAGTGTGGTCACTGGTCACCATAAGGGGGGTTTGGACACTTAGGCTAATTACACAAATGAATAGTTATATTTAAAAATGTTTTACAAATTGGTTAATTCTAATTTCTTAGAGCATTTCTTTTATAAAAAATTGTTAAAAATCATATGAAATTTGAAAAATCGAACTTTGAAGGAGAAACTTTTTCATCATGAAGACATACATAAAAATAAATTTTATTGTGTACATCAGATACCTCTGCAGTTGGATAAAATTAAAATAAAAGTTTTTCTTAAAAAAAAAACGAATATTAAATATTTTCATATTAAAGAAATTATTGAGAACAACGGTGATTAATAAGATTGCAAAACAAAAATGTTTTTGTTAGAAAGAATGGACTCTATTCCTATTTCTGAGGTTCTCAAAGTCTGCGAGGCTGCGCCTGTATTTATCCAGGAGGTCGGCATTTTTGTCCTCCAACTCAGCAATCTTTTCCAACAGCCTCAACTCACCCTCAGGGACCTCCTGTAACTCGAACATAACATCTTTATTTAAAAACTTCAAAAATCTAGATTTGTGTGATATTTGAACACTATATCCTGCTATTGTTATGATAACATTTCATTTCTTTGTAATAAAAAAACTATTTGGACAACACTTAGAAATTTGAGAAAATCCCTTAGAATTTTTAGAATTTTACAATCTATACAGTAGGCGCTATTTTGTTCTCTAGTAATTAGAAAAAAAGTCATGAAATTTTTTTAGGAGAAAAAGTGAATTTTTCTTGTATTATAAACTTTAATTGAAAGAAAACCTGAAACTTACAAAAAATTGCTGTTGAACACAAGAGAACCAAAAAATACAAAATTATTTTCAGGCAAGTTAGTTTTTTTTTCATAATTAATAAAAATATTGATATAAGGTCAGATGCCGTGGAACCAACTTTTAACATAATTCCGAATCCAACGTATTTACATATCTTTACAAAGTAGAAATCCTACTATTTGGTTCGGAGAACTAAATCACTATCTTCGATGGTTTTGGATTTAAATTGTTTTCTTAAACATAAAGATTTTATTTCCTCTGTTTCTTCCTTTTTCTCTTGTTCCGGAGATTCCGATTTACTGGAGAACAGAAACCTTCTCTGCAAATAAATACGGAAATTAAAATTTTGTGTTCGGTATTTTTCCTGGGCATTTTTTTCCCCAAGTAACAATTGGCAATTTTCCCAAGTTGCAACTTCCCTAGCGGAAACTTTCCAAGGTTAGGTTAGGCCTTCTGATACACCGCAGGCTGCAATAAGGACCGACCGCTGTTGCTAGGATGGTCTAGGTGGCCGAGCGCTGCGGCTAGGACAGACTTAGGAAGTTGCCGCTCAGGAAATACCACAGTTGGGAAGTTGTCACTCGGGAAAACATCCCTGGAAAGTTGCCGCGTGAGAAAGTACAGGGTGTCCCACATCATATTAAATCGTGTATAGCTCAAAATTGTGATTTTAGGAAAAAATCGGAAAATTTAAAAACAATGAAAAATTTTAAGAAATGTGAAAGGTTTTTATTTAAGTTTTTTTTGCAGAGATTACTAGGCGTTAAAGCTTGGAGATAATCTAACATGATATGGGACGCTCATTACCCAACGCCAAAATGTTAACAAGGATAAAATCATTTTACAATTTATTGTGTCCCAGTCACTCTGAATATTAGTTTATTTTTATAAACAATAATAACAATAAATAATTAACGAGCATCCTACTGAATCAAGGCAGAACCACCCATTCAGAATGACCTGTCGTCGAAAGTAAAAAAAAATTATAATTTCCAAAATGTAGTCTACCTTATGGAGCGTATAAATTACTGACAAAAAAACGTCAAATTTCAAATTTATTTTATCAATCTTTTTTTTATTAATTTATTCTTATGATTTTTATAGATGAAATATGTATGATAAACATATTTTTTCAATGTGAAAGGTGTTAGGGGCACCTAGATCGTAGTTAACATTCGCTGTAAATTCTATTTTTATATATTCTAATATTTGCAATCTGAATTCTGGTAGATCGAATTGTCAAAGAAAAAAGAAGAAATAAAAAACAAGTTTACAATTTTTAGTTAATTTTATTTTTTAGAGCAACTGATCTACCTGTGCTGTAATTGAGGTAGTTTGAATGCTATGAGGAGATATTTTTATCATTATTCCGTCCTAATCCAACCAGATTTAGTTTAAATAAGTTATGTATGTTTAGTGATGGCAAATAACTTGGTCCGGTTTTTTTTTATCTTTTAGGGCTATCGGACTTTTCAAAATAGTGTAAACGGTTCCAACATTTCAAAATTGTATTTTGTATAGGTTTATTTTGTGAAATTTTGCAATATTTTAATTTTAAACGAAAATATCAGGGAGTAATGAACCAAAAAAGATAGTTTATGAAAGAACGTATTTTTTTTGCATACATTTTCTATCTGGGTCAAAACTTTGCATGGTGTAAAAAGCAAACGTTTAGAATTAAAAATTTTAAATTTGTAATTTTAAACAGAAATACAATAAAAATATAAAAAAAGAGCCAATTTTTTTGCGATCATTGTATACGGACATCAATAGCTAGGCACGTTTTTTTCTTCTTTTTTTCTCGATACGTTTCCCGCCAAAATTCATTTATTTATCCAATTCAGCGAATAAAAACCTTTAAATAAAATCACATAATTTTTGGTTAAAAATGATTTTTCTAGAAAATATACAACCCTGTTTTTTGCAAGCCCTATTTTCCAATTTGAATTGTTCTCAAAATGACAAATATGAAAACAGAGACGTTCATGTCTGGCACTATTACAAATTTCAATTAACTGACAATACTTAAAAACAAACTTTAAAACAAATCTATATTTATTTCACTCCCACTCCAATAATTATACAAGGGGTTTAGTTTAAGATCATGAAACTGATTGATCTGCCTTTTGAGGAATAAAAGTGTGAATAGCTCTCTCGTAACTTCTACAAAATTATCTTAATTTTAAAATCCAAAAATCTGGGACTAACCACCGCAAAGAATATCATTGTTGTTTTCAAAAATCATAAAAAAAAATAATGTTATTTTCAAACGTATTCAATGGTGGCTTAGCTAGAGGGGGAGAGGGAGGAGGGGCCTATCCGCTGGAATTTAAGAGGGGGCAACAATCAATCCCTTCAATTTGATTTTAAACAAAGGATTTATAAAAATTTCCCTGTTGCGCAACTAAACCAAAAAATTAATTAACATTTTGTTAATTTCTTCCACAGAAATTTAAAAAGTGGGCACCGTGCACAGTTTACGCTCCCATCCCTGACAGAGTCTGTCACATATTTGAGATAATCAAATCCAAATCAAGTTAAAATCAGTATGGGAACCCCAAGATTGCCTTCAGGGCACAGCGCAACACTGTGCAGTGTGCACCTGCGACCTGGACATAATAAACAAATAACCAAAACCCCATGTAAAATTCCATAGGCCGGGGGGGGGGGGTAAAAATTAAAAATCCCAACCCCCATGTTGGACAATAACGTAAGCCACACTTGAATCAATTGAAGTTCCGTTAGCAAGAAATACCATGAAAAGAGTAGATAATTATTTTCCTTGGTGTTGCAAAAATTCTGAAATCAACTGAAAGAGCTCGGAAAACACATGATCGTCCAATTCCCGCCATTTTATCTGAAAATATTGTCAAGGAAATTCGCAAAAAGGGAGAACACGGGGGAGTCTTGGATTTTCCCGCGGAATATTAGACCGGGATTTCCCGTTTATTCATAACTGGGGAATTAACAATTTACATACTTAAAATGTTTAGTAACGCAGAGTTCAGGAAAAATCTCTTCTTTGGATATTTTACTATTTTGGGTAAGAAACGGCACCGGAAGTGGTTTTCAAAAGCAACAAAGGGGGTGTTAATTTAGGATAATCCAAAGACAAGTGTGAATTCTATTGCGGTGTCCTCTTTAAACTAATTTTTAGCGGTTATAAATTCACTATTATAAATTAGGAGAATGATTTAGAGAAAAGAGTAACTAGTGAAAAGGAATTGTTCATCTGTTTTCAGAAATAGGAAGATAGCGAAAAGTCAGTCTCTACCCACAAAAGTATGATTTTCAGGGGCAAAATTGGTTCGGTGTAAACCAACGTGTTTTGTCTGGTAAATGATGCCTAACGCCCCAACCATTTTTGAAAATAATTTTTGAAGTAAAGTATGTTTGCACGGGTCGAGCACTTTTCTAAAGGTTTTTTATGCGGAATTGGGGATAAGAAATGGTTTTAAGGTGAAATCGATGAATTTTTTTGGGAAACGTTAAAAAGGATGAATTTTTTTTTACATTATGCACCCGGCCCTATGTTTATACTACTATGCTAGGCATTGTAATGTGGTTCGAAATTCATTCCAGCATTTAACTAAAATCTCTTCTCAGAGATCCCAACAGACTGAGATAGTCACCACAAAATTAATAATTTTCAAATAGTTGAACAATCCCTTTCATAGTAAGTAGAAAATTGAAGAAAATAGTACTTTTAATAGTGGGACAATGAGCAGCGATAGTCTTTTATATCCTAACAAACTTAAACATCACAGAATGGCCGGTCTGGCCGACTATTTGCCTCGCACAATCGGTTTGGCATATTCGACGAAGTCGTCGATGAGAACGGGCCAGGCTCCCTCTTCGTCATAATTCTCTAGGTCCTCGTTGACGGTGGTGGCGAAGTCTAAGAGTAGGTTCCAAGTATCCTAGAATAAAACTAGTAAAAGTCCAAGAGTAGGTTCCAAGTATCCTAGAATAAAACTAGTAAAAGTCCAAGATTAGGTTCCAAGTATCCTAGAATAAAACTAGTAAAAGGAAGTCCAAGAGTAGGTTCCAAGTATCCTAGAATAAAACTAGTAAAAGTCCAAAAGTAGGTTCCAAGTATCCTAGAATAAAACTAGTAAAAGGAAGTTCAAGAGTAGGTTCCAAGTATCCTAGAATACAACTAGTAAAAGGAAGTCCAAGAGTAGGTTCCATGTATCCTAGAATAACCTAGTAAAAGGAAGTCCAAGAGTAGGTTCCAAGTATCCTAGAATAAAACAAGTAAAAGGAAGTCCAAGAGTTGGTTCCAAGAAGCCTAGAATAAAACAAGTAAAAGGAAGTCCAAGAGTAGGTTCCAAGTAGCCTAGAATAAAACAAGTAAAAGGAAGTCCAAGAGTAGGTTCAAAGTATCCTAGAATAAAACTTGTAAAAGGAAGTCCAAGAGTAGGTTCCAAGTAGCCTAGAATAAAACTAGTAAAAGGAAGTCCAAGAGTAGGTTCCAAGTATTCTAGAATAAAACTAGTAAAAGGAAGTCCAAGAGTAGGTTCCAAGTATCCTAGAATAAAACTAGTAAAAGAAAGTCCAAGAGTAGGTTCCATGTATCATAGAATAAAACTAGTAAAAGGAAGTCCAAGAGTAGGTTCCATGTATCATAGAATAAAACTAGTAAAAGGTTCCAAGTATCCTAGAATAAAACTAGTAAAAGAAAGTCCAAAAGTAGGTTCCATGTATCATAGAATAAAACTAGTAAAAGGAAGTCCAAGAGTAGGTTCCATGTATCATAGAATAAAACTAGTAAAAGGAAGTCCAAGAGTAGGGTCCAAGTAGCCTAGAATAAAACAAGTAAAAGGAATGGTAAACGTAAATTCAATTGGCCCCATAATTATTTAATGGAATGACCGATTCAAAACGATACCTTTTGTCTGATACAGAATAAAAAAGATATCAATGATTTCTCTGTAAAAAAATTGGTTATTTTTAATTGAGGTTTATCTATTTAGTGTCATTCGTATTTTTTTTCTACAGAAACTTAAAGGAAATTGAGAGAATTAAACACTATTTAAGCTTTAGGACAACCCCAGTATTTTTACAAGTGGAAAGTATTAAATAAATATATTTGTCTGTTTGTTTGTTTGTTTGCAACAGATAACTGTCAAAACAGCTGAACAGATCGATTCCAAATTTTTTGTGGGACCTCACATGATACCAGGAATGGTTTCTGAATGTTAAGAATTAAAAAATTTGCTGTTTAAAATTCCACAAAAAAATGAAATATGAGAAAAATTCGAGTTAAAATTTAAAGAGTAGCGCCAAGCGCCCTTGAAGCCTAGTTTTAAATAAAATACTGAACCTTTTTTTAAATAATTTTGTACTCATTCATTTATATTCAAGAAAAGAATTGTAATTTTTTTTTTTTTAATTGTCAAAAATTATTTTAATAGACACTTTTCAAGCTTGATGGACTATGGTCAAGGAGCATGGAATTTAAGGGAGCTGACATCGACTCGGCCTGCCCTACCATATGATTATTCAATATACATGCTTTACAGAAGGAGTGCTCCTTTTGAATAAGAAATATATGTCTGATGTACAAATACTGCGTATATGACTTCAGAATAGGTTATTGTATGCTTTTAACAGTAAACAAATTAGGCTGAATAACGCTAACAAATACATTTTTTGTGATGCAAAATTATCAGCAATATAAGCGAATTTTTGTATATTATCAAAAATTGGTTTATTTAATACGAAATAGTAAAAAACCTAGTAAAAATTGAAAAGATGACCGTTTAAAAACTCTTTTTAAATGGAGTACCCCGTCTGCAAAGTATAATCATAAGGTAGGGGGGGCCGGGTTGATTCCATCTCCCTTATATTCCATGCTCCTTGACGATGGTAAATATTTTAACACTTTCAAGCTTGATACCATCTTCCCATTTATTCACCATGATCATTGTGCCGTTGTGAATCGGGCACGGACTTCTAAAAAGAAGCATAAAAAACTTACCATGACGGTCTCTTTAAAATTTATGATGAAAAATCCGAAATACGAAATTTTTACTTCCGCCGTCGGAATGGTTCTTTTTCCCGCAAGAACAAAGCTTAAGGAGCATAAAGAGGACCCTGTCCCTATCGATAGAGGAACCCCCTCCCGTGACCAGCTGAGTGTACCAAAGGCTTACCCCCCAACCGCTACCGTGAAAGCATAAAACTTCTTCATTTAATAAGAAGTTTTTGATCTACAACTTTGAAATGTAAAATCAAGAAGGGAAAAGGGTTAAAAAGATGCAGCAAACCATGCAGTTAACTAATTACAATGTAACCTGTGTCCGAATTTAATGAATTTAGGCTGCGTCTCAAAACCCCCAAAAACCGGTTTTAATTGAGCGCCGGCTTTAATCTCGAAAAATTGAATACAATTTTAAGTGAAACCGACCATATTTGAGCCGCGGCTTTTTAAGCCGCGGATCAAATACTTCAAATTCGGCCTCTGGGGTATTTTATTTATAAGATGCTTAACTAACAAGTGCATGAACTATTCAAAACGGCCCCATGTAATCCTAATTTTATTTTTTACCTTTGGAATGGATCTGTTATGATGTTCCTTTAAAAACTTGTTCCACAGTTTCAAAAATTTGAATCTTTTATTCAATTTATAGCTTTAGGAATGTATAAAAAATAAACATTAATTGATTTCAAGATTAATTAATAGTTTGATCTCAAAGCTAAATGACAAATTATTTCGCAAATGATTGATTGATTTCATCAACTTTTTATTGATTGATTGTTTAAAATGATCTTTTTTTGATCATTGATTGATTTATTGGTTTTATAATTTAATAGACGTATTTCTAATATTAATAACATATTACATTGATTTAAAAAACTGTTAAATTATTTTTAATAAATAATATAGTACATTGTTTTAAAAAGCTGATTGATTGTTAATTAATAAAATAATAGAGATTTTAAAAGCTTATCGATTGATTGATTGATTAATAATAGAATAGATAGATTTCATTAACTGATGGATTGATTAACAAAATAATAAATGTTTCAAAAATTATCGATTGATTAATAAAGTAGTAAATATTTAAAAACTAGTCGATGGATTGATTGATAATATAATAGTTTCATTTAAAAGTAATCGATTGATTAACAAACTAATAAAAACTTAAAAACTGATTGATTGATTAATAAAATAATAAATAATTAAAAACTTATCGATGGATTGATTCATAATAAAATAGACTGAATTAAAAACTATCTATGGATTGATTCATAATATAATAGACCGAATTAAAAACTATCGATGTATTGATTTATTGTGTGTGAATATATAAAATGAATTCCTGTCTATAAGAACAATGTTCCAGTATGCTACGGCCATCTCAAGATCCAAGCCTAAAAATAAATCTGAAGTTTGAACTTTTGCTTGAAATAGCGCTAATCTTCAACGCTTGATATCAATATCCACTGTGACAACTTCTGGTTTTAATCCTTCAATTTGAAGGGATATTAAACAGGAATTAAATAAATGTCTGACACCATAGAATAAAATTCATTCTAAATTAGCGTTTTCACCAAAACCAAATAAATTCAAACTTTAAAAAATTATCAATTATAATTAACAATTTCGCTCACTATTGAGTGTTAATCAATGAAGAACTAAGATACATATTGCTCACTAAGGGTGCATAGATTGGTTTAATATATTAAAACAATATTGAGAAAAGGTGATTTTATCGCAAGTTGAAATTGCCGACCGGAAACCGGTTTTTATAAAATTTCAGAATGAATAATTCGCTAATGAAAAAATAATTTTAAATGGGTACCAATAGATCTGTCTTGAAACACTGAATTCAGAAATTCTGGAATCGGAGAAATCAGTTGATAATTTAAGAAAATAGAGGCAAACAAACTTTTATTGGCCATATATCAAATATTAAAACAAAAACAACGGGATAGTTTTTACAGGCTCCAGGCGCATCTTTTGATACCTACTTCGATACGTTTTGAAAAAAATTTAAAAAATTTACTAGGACTTTTATTGGTTTTTGAAATGCTAAATATCGGCAAAAACTCTTATTTTTATGGGCACATGACAAATACTGTAGAGGGGGGATCCAATTCTAAAAAAGTCAAAAATCGATTACACTTATTCCATACTAGGGTACCCCCAAAAAGACCAAGTTGGGATATTTGTATTATACAGACCTGAATAAAGTGACAAATTCAGGAAGAAGAAAAATTTGAACAAAACTTGACTGAGTTAGGTTCAAAAACTTGACTGAGTTAGGTTCAAAAACTTGACTTAGTTAGGTTCAAAAACTTGACTAGTTAGGTTCAAAAACTTGACTGAGTTAGGTTCAAAAAACCTCCAAAAATGTACTTTTGCTTAAAAACAAGCATTTTTGGCGGGTTTTCTTTGGCCTAACTCGGTCAATATCTGACATTTTTCAATTTCTGTGGATTTTTGACAATTACGCAGAAAACGATATATGACATGATATATTCAAGAAATATATTTTTTTTGAGCTATGTAGACTCTACGTGGATATTTCTGAAAAGGATATCTAACGGTTGAAGTGGTCCGATCTCATGTCTGCATCATACAAATATCCCAACTTGGTCTATTTTGGGATACCCTATCGCATACATCGTTAAAAATTCGTCAGAAATATAATTTCTTTAATAACAATTCCCTCATTTGAAAAATATTTTGAATAAACTTACCTTTCTGACTTGGATTTTTAGCATAATTAAAAGTAAATTGGTAGAATTCCTTTAAAAAAGCTTATTTTCAAAAACAAAATGTTCAATGTTCAAAGTTAATTTTCCTACCAATAAACTCCTCTTTTGAGAATTCACATTGCTGTGCCGCCTATTTCAGCATTTTCTTAACTTTTTCACAAATTATAGGCAAACTGTTGATTAAGAAATATTAAATGTAGTTTTTATTTTAGTCTTGCATTAAAAATGTAAACATTAGACAGTTTACCCAATATGGGGCTAATAGGATGAAATCAAAGGACCTAAGAAATAAAATATTACAAAATCTCTTCGGGATAGAGAAAATTAGCTTAACTTCCCTTTACATTCAAAAGTTTTCGGCACAAACCGAATATTAGAAGATTAAAAACAGAATAATTCCCGGGTTTAAGGAGGGAAAATGTTTAAGAAATGTTTCCTTAAATTTCCAGGCAATTATGAGAACAGTTCGGGAAGAAGGGTCCAGGTTCAAATCATCGAGGAACTTAATCACTCCATCCATACCTAAAACAAGATCAATTATCTAGACATTCCAGTATAATCTTAAAAAAATTAACTTTTCTCTTTTTTATTGAAATATCTATCTAGAAGATTAGAAACAAAGACATTGAAATACAAATCGTTTTAAAAAAGATATTTTCTGCATTTTTGACCCCTTAAATACTTGGAAGGGGTCATGTACCGTTTTGGAACAAGAAAGCGATAAATCTAATTAATGAAATATTTTGAAAGAATATTCAGAGAACCCCCCCCCCCCCATGATAAATACCTATTTTCTCAGGTTCCTTTGGATCCTTGTAACGATTATACAGAGTGTCAAGTTTCTTCCGATCCACCGAGCTTCGGGGCTCTTTGTAGTAAATCTAAATAAGATTTTTTTTCATTTAAACAACTTTTTTGAGTTAATACTTTGAAGAAATTCATGGCCCCCTTCCCTGCCCCCGGGCCTAAACTATCTTAATTTACGGTAACACTGCCAGCAATTCAAATTAGAATTATTAAAAAAAAAATTTAACAGAAATACAATAATTTGCCTTAAAATTTTAATGTACTTTTCAAACAAACTAACACTTTTTCATAGTAAATAAAACAAGCTAATAAAATCTACGATTATGTATGCAAACTAAACCATTTTTGAATGAAAAAAATGAATAAAAAATAAAAAATAAAAACTGGAACTTTTTAACATTATCAGCCATTTATTCCCAATTCACCGAGAAACAAAAATTTAAGAAATTTTCTGAACTACCGAGGAAACAAGAAAGAATGAATGATTTAAAAACAATATTTAGTATACACTATACACCTACATTTACAGCTTTAATGATGTATATATTAATTCTCATAGAAGAACAAATCACATCTTCATTCATAACGAAATTCAAGCTTTCTAAAAATTTGATTTGGATTTCTTAATCAAAACATTTCTGAAGTTCTGATTGGTTTAAATTTTCTTTTGTCAAAAATGTAAACCAAAATTCAGAGATGTCAAAATTAATCAGGATAAATTTGTGCTTTGGAAATCTTTAATTGTTATTGATTAAAAAATAATTGCCGGTGAAGTATTATTTAAATACCAAAATTACAAGAACTTGCAAATGTAGTGTTGGGGTGTAACACTGTAAACTCACATCAGGGTTTGCGAAGTAATGATCCAGAGCAATATCTAGTTTCCAGTCATGTTGGGCCAAGCAATAGAGAGCTGTCTTCTCGCCTACACAAATAACAATTTATTCCCAACATTAATAAAAAAAATGTTTTAAATCCTTTACCAATAGACCAAAACTGAGAAAAAAATAAACAACTGCGTCTGAAAAACTTGTGGCAAATCTAGATAGTTTCCTAGAGAATGAATGAGCCCAATCT